ACCACTGCTGCCTCGTCCATGACCCAGGATGTTTCCGACCCAGATCAGCTAGCGGCATCCCTTGATAGCAGTGGAATGGCCCATTCTTCGTCCACCAGTAGTACTCGTCGTCCAAGCTCAACCAAAGAAAGATCTACCAATGACACAAACAGAGCCTCCAAGAGCAACAAAAAGAGACGAGCTAAAAGAGCTGAACGTGCTGGTGCCCAACACATCCGGAACTCGACAACCAACGAACCCATGCCAGATCTGGTTCCACCGGGAATGATTGTGGGTCAGTCTCCCGCAGAGGCACGAAAGGGCCTATCGAGAATGACTCCACAACGGCAAGCATTTCCCCACGAAAAGTTTGGCAATAGAACAATAGCATCAGCACCAACAGCGGCAGCAGGAGCAAGAAACAGAAACAACAGTGAGAACGACGAAGCGAATGTCAGTATGGTACCTGTAAGCAACAACGACTACCGGTACTTTGACGACGAGGACATGAGCAGCCAGCATCCCTTGCCGGCGCAAGAGCCTCCAGATGAGTTGCTGATGACGATGCAACAGCAACCACAAGATGTTCACCTGGTTGAAGCTAGTCTCGTCCCTGATGAGGAAGAAGTCGACCGTGACATGATTCCTCAAGCTGAAATTGTGCAACCAAAAGAAGGACTGGCAAAGTATCTACCAGAAAGCAGGCGCAAAGCACGGTTGTGCTTTGGACTTTGTGCGCTCTTGACAATCGTGATAATCACGACTATCGTCGTGGGAGCCGTTTGTGGTACCGGCAATTGTGGTGGTGGTGGTGGTGGTGGTAGCAGTGATATTGATCCTACCCCCGCACCCACCAGCAGTGGGCCTGTGGAACTTGTGTCTCCAACCGTGGCAGTGCCAGTTTTGGGAAGAGTCGAGGTGCTGTTGCCGAACTACACTCTCCCCATGCTCTCGGATCCGTCCACAGCTCAGTCCAAAGCGTTTGCGTGGCTGGCGTCGAATTTCACTGAAGACAAACTTTTGTTGATTCCAGAATGGAGGACACAGCAATTGTTTGCTCTGGCGACAATCTACTATGGCTTTGATGGGGACAACTGGGATCCCGTGGACCGACAGCGGTGGCTCAATCCATCAATTGATGAGTGCGTGTGGACGCCGGAGCTGCAACCAGCAGGTAGATTTGATAGTGTTCACCAGATTGAGTGTTATGACAAGGGAGCAGAGCGTGGGCGGGTCCAGTCCTTGAAACTGGTGGTATTTCGATTGCCATTACAAGGCGGCATTCCACCCGAAGTGGAATTGCTTGCCTCAATGGAAACCTTCGAAATCCAAGAATCACAGTGGAGCGGACAGCTGGAAGATGTCCTGCCGTACCAGCTGGGGTACATGCCAATGCTCAAGTCCTTCTCGGTCATCTACAACCAACTGTCAGGCACGCTTCCCCCTTCCATCTTGGGTGGAATGACATCATTGACAGGCTTGTACCTTGGTGTCAATTCTTTCACGGGCAAGCTACCAACAGAGATAGGAAGACTCACCAGGCTGACTATCCTCGATGCGGATAGAAATCAGTTAACGGGTCCTGTATTTTCAGACATTGGCCTTTTGCTCGAGTTGACACGTGTTGACATTGACGGAAACATGTTCAGTGGACGCCTTCCAAGTGAGCTTTTCAGTTTGGCTGCCTTGACATCTCTGGAGCTTGGAGAAAATCTCCTTACAGGAACTGTTGGAAGTGAACTAGGCCTTCTCACTAATCTCGATTGGCTGGGATTTTCGGGAAACCAACTCCGTGTGCTGCCCAGCGAACTTGGACTTTTGACAATGCTCACAGACCTCGAATGCAGTTACAACTTCTTTGGTAATGTTATACCGACTGAATTGGCCATGCTTACGCTGCTCACATATTTGGATCTGTATGAGACCGCATTGATCGGGTCAATCCCTTCGGAGTTTGGCTTGATGATGCAGTTGACTCGCTTGGATTTCGAAGGAAACCTGTTGACGGGCCCTGTTCCATCGGTCATTGGTGCCTTGACAGAGCTTACCCATCTGCAGTTGAACACCAATCAGTTGTCCAATCGTCTTCCAACTACTTTTGGCTTCTTGACCAAACTGAAGTACATGAATTTTGACAATAATCAACTGTCGAGCCGTATTCCATCCACCATTGGCTTCCTCACGAACTTGGAATCCTTGATTCTTTCCCAGAACAATTTGACCGGGCCTATACCAACAGAGTTGCAAATGCTCACAAACTTGTTGGAGCTGACTCTGAGTCACAATCGTCTCTCCAGTACCATTGGACCATTGGGATCACTCTCAGCTCTCGAGAATTTGGATTGTACAGAAAACCTCTTTGTGGGCCCTATTCCAGCTGACATTGGTGCCTTGACTGCTTTGACAAACCTGAGAATACACAATAATGCACTGTCGAGCCGTATTCCGTCTACCGTTGGCTTGCTGACGAACCTGGAATACTTGATTCTTTCCCAAAACAGTTTGACGGGGCCTATCCCAACAGAGCTGCAGATGCTCGTCAGCCTTTCGGACCTCATTCTTGGGTCCAACAGGCTTTCAGGTACAATTGCACCTGAGCTAGGATTGCTTTGGACAGTGTCCAATATGTGGCTCGAACTAAATGATTTGGTTGGAAGCGTGCCTGAAACTGTATGTGCCTTAACCACCAATGGGGAGTTGAGTAGTTTACAGGTGGACTGCTGGGAGGAAGTTGCTTGCCCAGAAGACTGCACGTGTTCATGTTGGTAGGCGGTGCTCAGCGTCATTCATTCATTGGGGAGCTAGAGATGACCCCAAAAGTCCATCATTCATTCTAACTTGGAATGGAATTGCGCTGCGCTACCTCAACGGCATTGCACTGCGCTACTTCCACGGGGTACCGGTAACACCAATAGCTGGGCAAAACTGCCTTTACAAAACTCGGTGCGAGCTACAAGTGTGCAGTGGATTAGCTGAGCTAGTAGAGTGGATCTCTTTAGTTCACTACAGTTATTCAGCGTGAGCTCAAGCAACCTTTTCACTTAATCCATGTCAAGCAAACCGGCGCGAACTGCGTAGAAGACATCCAAGACAAGGCTCAGATCATCGGTCCCCACCTGGAAGAGGTTCTTGACGTAGTCGTAAAGAAAAAATTGGAGACCAATCACCAAGAAGAAGAAAGTGGCTCTGGCCGGTAGTCCCAAGAACAGATTTGCAATGCCTCCGTCTCGTGAAAGCAGATCGCGCACCACGGAGACCCACGCAGGTGTTGAGGTGTTAAGTGCTTCAGCTCCTGATTCATCGTCATCATCCTGTGCCTTGGACGCAGATGTGTAGGTCAATATTAAATCTGCGGGGTGGCTCACGATGGCCCCCGCCACTCCCGCTACAGCTCCAGCAATGGCTGACACAGCCAAACCAGCTGGACCAACACCCACTTGAACTGGAAGAGCTCCTTCCTGCGTCTGAGAGTTGATTACATCTGTTATTAAGCGAGCCAAAACATCAAAAGCAAGGAACTTGGCAATGGCAAAAGGAAGTTCTCGCGAGAGTGTCGGTGCAAACCCGGACCATAGAGGGAGCAGATCTGTTGGATTGATGTCTTCCAACCCAGAGCTATCGCCTCCTTCATTGCGTTGAACTCTTTTTGCAGCCATTTTTGCTGCTTGCTTTTCGTTTTCCCTCTGATATTATCACAGGCGGTGGGAAATTAGGTGAGCAAGGTTCGTTAGCAGTGCGTCGTCAGGTGAAGGAGAACATACCAGGAACGTTTGAAGTACTTCTGTCCAGCCAACGGAATCCAGCCTTATCATACTCTTGACCCTCAGCACTTCAAAGGGTGTAGCTGCAGCACTCGTGACTTGAAAGGTGGAGGAAGAGGAAACAAGTAAGTCCACAATGATCAAAGCGACGACACGATGTTACGGCACTTGTTGCTTACCAACCGTTGCCAAGCCTGCTGCTAGCAAGAGCACAACCTCAGAACCTCCTCCACTACCACCACCAGCATCGTTATAGAAGATCTCTGTAAAGGATCGTCGGAATAATTCGGTCGCCCCAAATCCAAAAGAACCAAACACTAGGGACGCAAGGAACGTGATATCTGCACTTTGAAAGGGGGCGAATGGGCCTCTCAACTCAGCCAAACTAAAGATCAAGTCTGTTAAACCAAGATTTGCGAGTTCCTTGTCGTCGGATAGCGCTGTTGTCGTGTCGACGCTTGGCTCGAGGACTGCCGTGGCTGTGGTGGTTGCTGCGATGGGACCTGATGTCACTGTGTTTGTGCCCTTGCCGGACGCACTTCTAGTGGCAACCCTTGGGGCTGAACCATCACCATGCTGTCGCTTAGTGTCTGTCGTCTTTTCGTTGTCGTCATCATTGTCACCTCGTTGCCTCATGAGCCTCTTGCGGGCATAGTCAAACAGCTCTGGATCATTTTCCAGCTGTTGTTTGGTTTTAATCAACTCAAGTGGATTCAAGGCTGTCCTGACAAGAACTGTACACACAGCCCCACTCAATGACAATCTGGCGTATTCACTCGCACTCAATGCTCGAGCACCCTTGGTCACCGGCACGGAACCCACACCGCCAAAGATCGGGTCAAACGCTCGATAGCGAGGCGAAGGCACTTTGGTGTTGGATGGTATCGGTGGCAGGGATGCAACCTTGTAAAGCTGTTTGTTGGCGTTGTTGCCATCCAACGGTTTGGGGGATGACGACGATTCCAGTAGAACACTGGATGGCAGGAGCTCCAAAGGCTCTCGTTGCAGCCTCTGAACGAGCGCATTGTCGATGGCGGTTGCACTAGCACCACCATCGTCATCTGTAGCATCATCATTACTGTCCCTATAAACCACAGTCCCTTCAGCATTCTTCATTTCAATGACCTGCACCCGCAAGGGTTCAATCTCAGGGACTGGGACCATTCTCATTTCGGGTTGTTCCTGTGTGGCCAGGAACCAGTCTGGATCTTCTGTCGGCGGTGTAATGTGCACATTGGGTGCTTCTGTCTTGACAAAGCCATTGCCTCCATGATCCATCTGTACATCCACGACTTCGTATTCCAGTTCTGCAACGGCTTTTGCTATTCGTGGTTGTATGTCCTTGTCGTCGTCTCCGTCCTCGATGGAGAACTGTTGTTTCTTCTTGACTCCTACCTTGGGCCGTTGAATGGTTACTTTGGGTGGCCGAGGCTGTTGCTGTCCCCGTCGTGATTGTCGTCCTCCAAAGCCATATCCCGGGTCCAACACGAGCACTTCGGCCACATGTCCCTCTCGATCCATAATGGCACACGCCTGACATGGTTTTGTGAGTAGCGGAGACGATTCGACTGTCACCAAGGGTGGTTCGGCACCAAAATACCCTTCCCCCGGATCTGTCACCTTGATTCGAAGTATTCGGGTAGTGGGACGCAGAATGGCCGTGCATTGTGCCGGTCGGTAATCATCCCCCAACGCCGGTGGAGCCTCCACGACGACCCGCGGCGGATCCGAAATCGAATACCCACCTCCCCGTCGACTGCTGGTGCGTGATTTGCTTTCGTCGGCTACGGATGGTCGTATTAATTGAAGCTTTGAAATGGTAGCATTGTCGGCTTCTCCCAGTAGACCTCGAATCGCCAACGTGGGTTGCAAGGATGGCTGCGAGATGAAGGAAAAGAGAATGGCCAGCTGTCGTTTGGCCGACACGGATGTGTATCGTGCTTTTAGCAGCGAATAAAGATTCAGGATTCCCTGTTTGGCGGGCATGGTTGTGCCGGTTGTGCCAGCCTTTTGCTGCTTATTGTTCGTCCTGCTGCTGTCGCTTCTTGCCGACGAAGCAGCACTATTCTTGTTGTTGCTAAAAATGTCTTGCAGCAATGTGGCAATGTTTTGGTTCTTAGTGGGTTGACTGGACAGTGCCGGTGCCGTTGCCAAAATACCCGCCTTGGCTGCCTGTACGGACGAGTAACTCCCGTAAGGTCCTACAAAGTAATCTGCCAGACCCACCTCGACACTCTCGGCAAATTCTGCAAATCGGAATTGATTCACCAGGTTGGGGTCCAACGTATTCTGATTGTTGTTGTTGTTGTTGTTGTTGTCATTATTGCTGTTTTCATTGTTGTTGTCGACACTATCCCAGGTATCTAGTGTGGGAGAGTTTTGATTCCACCATGCATTGACGGCGGGATCGTAGTTGAGCAGGAATCGCGAGAGATAGGCAATAAATCTGGTTTCGTAGACGGATTGCAATGCTTCTCCCGGTTGCAGTCGTTTGCCTCGTTTTCGGGTAGATATCCCTCGTGCCGCTTCGCTGCCACCTGTGAGCATGTCCGCTTTGGGAGAGAATAAATTTCCAAACTTGTCCATTTCCGGTTTGCCCGCCGATGCTGGTAATACCGGTAGCATTGCTGTGGTCGTGGCAGTTGTGGCTGCCAGCATAGTCAATATGGACATTCGTCGGGAGGAACTTGTGGCGGAATCTTGCTGCTGTTGTTGGGTATCCTTAGTATTATTGTTGAATGACTGGTGATGCGATGATCCTGAAGCCGATGCCAAAAATAATGGGGTATCTGGGGTATATGAGCTTGCTGTTCCGAAATCTTGGGTATCCGAGTTCAGGTTGCTTTCTTGGAGTTGGGGCATTCTTTTCCGGATGGTAGATGATGACCTTGAAGAAGGACACACATATGTGAGTTCCTGGACATGCTTGGAGGCTTGAAATGGTATCCTGGATGACGAAAAGCCACAGACATCACCACTCCTGTGGATCAGCACCAGCACAACAAGTGTCCATGTTAGATTGGGTAGCTGTAGCCTGATTGTCAGACTACTTCTTGCACTGGAACAGCAGCCTACGATGGTCATGATTAGCTTCAATCAACTCTATTATTCTATGAAGTGAATAGACTATGTATGGTCGTCAGTTCCTCTTGCACAGCATAGTAACAACATGACAAGTAGTCTACTAGTACGGCAGGACTTTGATGTGCCGTGGCTTCGCTTTGAATCTTTCTGCCACTGTTGATGAGTCAAGCTTCGTTTGATGACGTTTGTTAGGTCACCGCACGGTGGCGGCAAGGCGGCCGTTACTACTTTGAGGCAGGGACTGACTCAGTCAGGATTCGAATGAATCGAATCGAATCGAATCGATATTCGATTTCACGGCTTCGTTCATCTATCTCTCCCAACCTTCTTTTGTGGGGTTTACCAGTAGTCAGCGAGGGCCAGGTTTTAGGCAAAAAGAAGAGGCGCCATTCAGGACTGGGTTCTGTGGGATCAGGGGCAACAATGGAAGACCAACATGGAAGACCAACAGGGGGAACAGAGGGCTTGGCTTTGTGGATCCCCAGAGACAATTATGGGTAGCTTTCACAAGGGCAATGGAGATGCCAGTTTTCATGAAGAAACATCATTTGAGAGTCAGTCTCAGTAACTAGACGTCGGACAGCTATATATAATACATCGCTGGATAGGTATTAATGTTAAGAAGCGTTTGCGCGAATAAAAAGATTTTTCCACCACCTCACATTTTGACCGACGACGGACGGACATGCGCGGAAAATTGTCTGACCGGTCTTACTTCAGCAGTGATGCTTCTAGCCGCTCTGGCTCCTTTCGATGCTTTCCTGTTGTTTTTTACCTTTTCACGGCGTTCGACACCAGGGTCTTCATTAAACCATTTGAACTGCTTTCGCTTTTCGTCTGGCACTAGTGGACCCCACTTATCATACAGTTCTATCCACTTGATGTCTTGTACTCCAATAGCGTCGAGCGATTGCAGTTGTTGCATACGGAGGAGCCAATTCTGCTTAGAATCCCATTCCGGTTCTTTGCTGATCTTCTTCGAGATGGTCTTCTTCTGAATAGTCTCGTAGACAGTGGGAGCTTTACACCACTCTTGGATGGCAATGGTTGCCCCATTATCCTTGGTTGCAGTTGCCACAAACATGTGGTTGTTGTCGACACCACTCTTAATCCTGTAAAGGAATTCATTCTCAAACTTGTCGAAGTCAAACATGTCATCGTTGGATACCCAAACCGGCTGCACCTGCTCATGTGTCAGCGCCTCTACCATGTCTTCCGGAAGATAGATGTTTGCCTGGTACAGTACAGATGAGCAGTGGCAATCAAGTAGGTGAGACGTTTCAATTTGAGGTTTTCGTGTGAAGAACAACAGTCGGCAACAGTTGCGCCATGTTGTCACCTTTCGATAATTCTTCTTCATGACGTTGAAGAGCCGGTCGCAGTCATTCTTGGTATGGCCACGGATTAGGAAGCAGAACTTGGCAGTCAGTGTCACTTTCAACTTGATAAGCAGGTAGATGAGACGGATCACCATGTTGTTCTTGTTCTGTCCTGGACAGTTGTCAAAGAAGAACACCAGTTCCTTGAACGGCTCCTGTGTGTACAGGATTCCAGACTGCTGTAGATGCAACCACAATAGAGAAGCGACATTGTTTCCTCCCTTCTTCGCGACCTCCTCTGTGTAGACATAAGCTCCCAAGTTGTCGCTACTGGTATCAACGACACCAAAGCAAAAGGTATTGAGGGGGCTGTAATAATATGTCTCACCTGGTTGTTCGAAGCCGAATGAAGGAAGGCCCATGTTCTGTGCATAATCCGCCACAAAGCAAAGAGTCCTCTCACTTGGTCTGTTGTCCTTTGTGTTGACAGCCAACGCTTTGTAATCCTGGAAGAGTTGTCTCTGATCATCATACATGGTGATGTGTTTTCTGATCTTGGCCAACAGCTCCTGTTGCTCTAGCAGCAATCGATTCTTCTCTGCCACTGATGGTGATGGTCGTGTTGCTGTTGCTGTTGCTGTCGCGTTTTCCTCATTGCCGTTGTCGTTGCCTTGGTCGTTGTCGTCACTGTTGTCCTCCTGGTCACCATCCAAAACCATTTCATCGATGGCTGCTTCTCTGAGTTCTCTTGCTTGAAGACGATTGATGACAAACTTATGCCGGTTGGCATGCTTGAAGCACTCATTGCAAATGTCTTCCCTAGGGCGACACACTACTATGTGTTTGTAGTGCATCTTCCAGTGTGCGTGGAACTTAGCCCAACTGCAAACAGCCTTCTGTTCCACGCCAACCATGGGGACGTTCCTGGAAATGGCTCCTTTAGCATCCACAGAATAATGATATCCATTCTCTCTCAAGTAACGGCCGTAGAGTTGCCGCTTGCTGTAACAGGAAGGAAGCTCCACCAATTCATCGTTGGTTTCGTGGAGTGTCTGATGCACGGTGTCTCCAACCAACGTCCTAACAAAAAGAGTTGCTCTTGGACTTGCCAGCTGTTTCATGTCCTCAAAGAATTCGGTCAGTGGAATGTCAATTGCGTCCTTGCTTCTGTATCTCTTGCCATCGTTGCCATGACCAAGGAGTTTCTTTCCATCTGCGACTAGCTCACAAGAGTGCCATTTGTCCCATCCAAAACCAATCAATCTGGACAAAGTGTCGCGACAACAGGTGACTCGCTTGATCAAACCAGGCAGAAGGAAGCATCTGCGCTGTTCCTGAGCACTGTAGAGATGCTTGTGCTTCAGTGTCTTGCGTGTGTACTTGATCCATTCCAACACGAACATCATTTGGCCGTTTCGGTCCATCATAGCGAAAGAAAAAAGAGAATTGACCACAACTAGGAAATCGAAGCTCCCTGGCTCTGGAATATCCTTGCAGCAGGTGCATGCCTTGTCTCTGCCTTGGTTCTTGATGGAAACACAGTGGTCGAGGGCTCTGTATCCTTCCAACCATTCTTGAATTTCCTTTTTGAGTGACGGCACGCAGACAGGATTCTTGGTCTTCTTCCCTTGCAAAATCCTGTTTCGAATGGTGGGAGAGTGGATCTTCCTCACAGGGCTGATGGGGATGCTATTCCTGTTGCCCGCAAGGGTTGAAAGAGGCTCCGTCATGGTCGAATTTGGTGGTTTTCGCCATCTTTGGTTAGGCTAGAGGTAGACGATTTTCGTTTTCGTTTCGATCGAAAGTGTGGGAATGGCATGGGAGTTGGCCAATGCTGCACGATTAACCGAATCGCACCTGATCGCACCGAAAGAGTTAGATCTGTCGGTTAGCCATTACTCAGTAACTAGACGTCGGACAGCTATATATAATACATCGCTGGATAGGTATTAATGTTAAGAAGCGTTTGCGCGAATAAAAAGATTTTTCCACCACCTCACATTTTGACCGACGACGGACGGACATGCGCGGAAAATTGTCTGACCGGTCTTATCTATCTCTCCCAACCTTCTTTTGTGGGGTTTACCAGTAGTGCATTATCTACTACGGAAGCCAGCGAGGGCCAGGTTTTGGGCAAAAAGAATAGGCGGCATTCAGGACTGGGTTCTGTGGGATCAGGGGCAACAATGGAAGACCAACATGGAAGACCAACAGGGGGAACAGAGGGCTTGGCTTTGTGGATCCCCAGAGACAATTATGGGTAGCTTTCACAAGGGCAATGGAGATGCGAGTTTTCATGAAGAAACATCATTTGAGAGTCAGAGTACTGAGTTTTGTTGGCATTGGCGGTAGCAAGGCATTGTAAAAGAAGCTTGGCTTGGGGAGCAAGCATACCATCCACAGAAACAACAATGGATGGAAGGATGATCGATTCGATTTGCATGGGGCTTCATACATGGTAATTTTCTCCCAGGCACAAAATAGGTTCTAATCTGTTACTTAGGGGGATGAGCAAACTTGCCCATGGCTCTGAGTTGAATTTGTTAGAGCGTTTTTGTAAAAATTGTGTGGGCTAAGCCAATCTTTTACTTTGGCTGTTTTTCTCTATTGGATTAGATTGGATTGCATTGGATTAGATTGGATTAGATTGGATTGCATTGAATTACAGTTTACTATATAAATAACAGTACTATTTGGAATCCAATTCAATCCAATCCAATCCAATCCAATCCAATTAAATGTATCTTCCTGCAAAAATAGGAATTTCGTCTTTTTAACTGATTTTGGCCACACTCCATTACAATTCAGGGCTATTGCAAGATTTGCCCATCCCCTAGGAACTTTTAAAATTATTGTACCAGTCTACAGGGCTTAAGAGTAGGTGGGCTATCTACGGTAACCATGCATCGATACCGGTATTCGTGTTTACCGCCCTTCATTCACCTCTCTAGCTAGCTACAAGACAAACGGCAACACTTGATGCTCCAGCACAGTTTCTGGGACACCAAACTTTGCAGCAATGCGCTGGAGAAAACCGCCTAGAATCTGTCTCATTTGTTCTTCGAGAAAGGATTTTGTATCTTCCGAATACCCCCGGCTCCGTTTCAACGTATCCAAAGGTGTCGAACCCAAACGACACGGCACAAAGAGGCCTGTTGGGTACGCCTGGACCAATGCTCTCAAATGTAAATGTTGTCCGGCTTCCCAGAAAGAACAATTGAACAAGCCTCCCTTGATGACTCTGTGCAACGGGAGTTCTCCCCGGTCATTCTTCGTGCGGACGGATTCGGGGACCTTTTCCAGCACGAATCGGATCAACTCCAGATTCTGTCTCTTTTTGTGACGATAGAATTCGTGCAAGAGACAACTCGGATCAAAATCTCCCTTGTTGGCAATAAGATATTCCAACACTTGTTTCGCAGAAAAGTCTCCATGGCATGCAACCTGCTGCAAGGGGATATCGCCGTTGTTGTCTTTGGTCTGCAGGCTCTCGGGACAGAGAGATGCCAAGCACTGCAAAATGTCCAACGAAGCTCCCTGGTAGGCTGCAGTATGGATGGGTAACTGACCATATTTATTGCTCACCAACAAACACTTGGGGTCTGCCTCTGCGAGAAACTGGACCACCTCCACTAGCTTGGACTCGATGGACAAGTGAAGGGGCAAATCGCCCCTACAACTCTTACAGTGGATGGCTTTTGGGTATTGTTCGTACAAAAACTGGATTGTTTCTAGAGATGTGTGCGGAGAGATACTGGCACAGTGCAGGGGACAACCGAGGCTACTTTCCATTTCCAAACTTTCCGGATGGTGCAACGCCAGTCGTTGAATCGATTCGATGCTCATTCCCGCGCAACAAGCCATGTGGATCGGCAGCATTCCTCCCGTACTGGGAATATAGACGCTATCGGGCCATTCGCGAATCAGATATTCGATAATCGCATCGTCTACTTGTGGGTTGGCACAGGCAACCCTCAGAGGCGTCACACCGTCGTGATGATACCAGACGAGCTTGCTTTTCAACACAATGGGGTCGGCACTGGCAATGGACCGGATCTCGTCCAACGATGAAGGAGGATCCTTTCTCTCCAGCGCTGCAATCAACTCAACGGCGGCAATGACGTTATTATTGTTGTTGGCCATGATGGTCTCGACAAGTAACCGAAAGGACTATTACAGATATTAATAGATTGTGGCTATTAATACACTGTACCTGGTACAAGTCCGAACAGGTTGGCGAGGGCGACTGGATATCGGTACCGGTACCGGTACCGGTACCGGTCCAGAAGCAATCCCCAGATCCGTTCGGTCCTATTTATTTATGATAGCTGTACTATTAATTTAATAGTAGGTTTTATGGTCGTCCTCGTACCATACTCAACGAATTTTGTACTGGTTTTCCTACGGTCGCTGTAGGTTCTACGGCGTCCTCGTACTCAACGAATTTTGTACTGGTTTTCCTACGGTCGCTGTAGGTTCTACGGCGTCCTCGTACTCAACGAATTTTGTACTGGTTTCCTACGGTCGCTGTAGGTTCTACAGTCGTCCTCGTTCTCAACGAAATAACCCTAACCCGCTCACAGTTGGGATTTTGGAGCTGTGTTAGAAAGGTATTTTCGTATGACGGACAGACGACTAGGGATCCACAGTCAAGGTTCGTGATTGGGGATATGTGACTCAGATTCAGATGGTGATCCGATCATCATCCGATGGCCAGGTGTACGAGGAACGAGGACAATGGTCGTCTAGATGATGCAACTACAAAGGATAGGAAGTTAGGTCGAAGAGATGAATGCAAGGAGCGATGGGACGGAGCAAATGAATGGACGGATGAAGGTCCATAGGTTTAGTAAAGTGGGAAAGCCCTCCAGGGCCAATCATGTGCACTACGCTAAAAGCTAGTGTAAAGATCTTTCGAGTGTTTTGAGTTTGAGAGAATGAAAGTTATGAGAGAGATTAGAAAGCTATGAAAACTAATCAACGAGAGAGATCATCATCAAGGGATCGTAGATCTGGCCTCCCGCGGGAGACTATAAAGTGTGATAGAGTTGGTAAAGTCTTGAGGTCAGCTCAAGACAGGTTTCAAGGTAGTTTGGGTGCAAATAGCAGGTGCTATCAGGTGCAATAGGTACAATCCTTTGTCCTGGTCAACAGGTACACTTATTTGTTATGCTAAACTAAGAATTGTGAGCACACAGGGCTCCTAAGTCAAATACAGTGGCACATTTCGAATGGCCGCGAAATGGGACTTCCTACAGGTCGAAAACAGGACTTCCAGCCACTCTTTGCATATAAACCTTCATCCAGGACTTCACTTGACCACCAAACATTGATAAATAGGTACATTCATAGTCAAGGACTTCATAATGTCATCCAACATATAGTAATCATGCTTGTCCCAACACCTCATAGTATCTTCCAACATCTAGGAGTCCTGCCCAAAGATACTTATGAGTCATGCCCAAAGATAATTATGAGTCATGCCTAAAGATTTAGAGCACAGGCCAACCCTACAATATCCCAGAGTGAACCACTTCCAGGCATCACACTTGTTCCAGGGACAGACAAGCTGGGAAACCAGCACTACTGTGTAACACACCAAAGACATCTCTCTCTTTTCC